GGGGAGAGGTGGGGGGGACGTCGTGGTGCCGGCAGCCCTGCCCGCATGCCGGTGAAGCGGCGGGGGAGGATGCGGTGAAACCTAGCTAGTGTTACGTGCTTGCTGGTATTAACAACTGCAGAACACTTCTTGCTAGTAACCTTCTGTAGGTCACTCCTAGTCGTGACATTAATTATGATGCTTTTTCCAGCATTTTTTTAGGTCTTCATTCTTAAAGCAGGAAGTGGTTTATTATGGAAATGTACCTTTGCAGGTATTTGAAAATGCGTAGGTTTGTTAAAAGTGAGAGTGCGTAAGTTCAGTGTGTCCGCTTCTGTGTCTTTCAGGCCCACAAAAAAAGGATCTACTGATTTCTGCCTAGGGTTACAGGGATGAGAGACCCAAGAGATCTTGAACTTTTGTCTTGATATTCCTAGTTTTACAAGAGAGAAAAATGGGGGATGAGGCTTAGCAATTTAAAAATGCAGATGGCAACTAATGGGCTCTTTTGAAGAGAAGGAGAAAGTATCATAAGTATGAAGATTCCCAGGATGCAGTAATTCATTGCTTTGTTTTGCCATTTTTAGGAGCAAAGTGAAAAAGTTCTTTGACTTTTCCTATCAAAAAGGCGTCTTAAGTTTACGTCATTGTTGCAGATGCACAGGTTTACTCTATTTTTTTTTTTAATAATTTCTTAGGGTTTTTCTTCAAATGCTGCATTATGTTGCCTTCAGTTATAGGAGACTTGTATTTTGGCTTCGACTAGTGGATAGCTCTTGAATATAGATTTCTCAGCCTGGGCCCTGGAAGAAGAGGGCTCTATCTTTTTATTTTTTTATCTTATTCTGTAGTACCTTGTTAAGCCAGGTGGTTAAGAGGTGCTGCTGCTTTTGATGCTTATCGTTTCCTGAAATAATTAAAGAACACTAATATCCTTATTCAGGAAAAAAAAAACCCCAAACCTAAAAGCAGAAGAGGTGACTTAGTTGCCACCCAACTGTCCATTAAAATAGTAGCTGCTAGAGCTATCAAATGCAATAGCAAGG